AATTTTCATCCAAGACTGATTTTTTTTTTTTATTACTTAATTACCGTATTTTTCGGACCATAAGACGCACTTTTTTCCCCCCAGAAGTGGGGGGGGGGGGGGGAAATGTCCCTGCGTCTTATGGTCCAAATATAGCCTACACATATACTTTAAAAAAAAAAATGTTTTTTTACTTGCCCGGCTCTGTGTGGTCTCTGTGTGCTTGCCCAGCTCTAAAATGGTTCTAAATGCTGCTGTTTACTTTACAGGGTTGATTACATGTGTTTATGACTGTGATGTTGGGTTTTAATGCACATAAAATATTTTAGGACACTATTTGTTTCAGAATCTTTTTTTCTTCATTTCCCTTCTCTAAAAACTGGTGCGTCTTATGGTCCGGTGCGTCTTATGGTCTGAAAAATACGGTAGTTCGAGTTTCTGCCATTTTTCTAGCTACCCAGCTATCCAGCTACCTGTTATAATGGTACCCAAAAGTACAGCCTAAGCCAATGTAGCCAATAAAATAATTCTGTTTAAAATATGCTATATTTCAGTGGGAAAAAAAACATGTTTATAAATTATTTAGTACCTTATAGCCATCTTATGTTTCCTATAAGTGGCTATTTATTTCAGAAATATAGAGGTATCATTGGATTATAAGTTTCTCCTCATTTTAAACATTAAATTATAGTTAGAAAATGTGCTGTATAACTTCATTTAAAAAAAATAAGCTACATTGGAATTAGATACAATTTCCTACTTCTTAGTTATGGCACTAACAATTTTTTGCACACACAATTTTATGTGTCTCTAATCCTCAGTGCAGATTGAAAAGGCTTGACAATGCATGCATATGCTCTCTAATCCTTACCTTTTTAATTTAAATAATGCAATTCACAAGTATTAAATATGGTGCAGATATGGATAGAACTCATAACATCTTATTTTCTAAACAGTGACATGACTATATATTATATCTCTTTTATGAACTGTTGGAAAATGAAAGGAGTTTATAACAATCTTTTTTTTCCCATTCCTTCTATGCAGTGTAAAATTGCCCTTAGTTTAAATTGTCATTTGCTATAACCATAACCAAACCTATAGCTTATGACGATAAGTTTGACAAAGGACAACAATGAAATCGTTTTAAGAAAATATGTGAATATATTTGCAGAAGCCTAGTGGACAATGAAAATAGTTTGGGGATTAAAAGTGAAGAGAGGAAAGAAGATAAACTAGTTGCAAAGATGTTTGGAAATGAATAATGGTAGCTATAATGTCAGAATGCAGGATATTGGATGAGACAAAATGACAGCAGGTCCTGAAGAAGGCCTGGCACAGTTGTCATCGTGCAGTTCATTTATTTATGATCTTATTAGAGAGAGGAGAGAAGGGAGCATTTTTCCTCTAAATATTCAGATCATTACTGGCTACTTTGTAGCAACAAATTTTTATTGTCAAAATAACTCTCAAGACCATCCATACATTTTTTTTTCTTCATTTCCTTTTTATTCTTTCCAGTTTTTATGTCTTGTGAGTTGTAGATACAAACTGCTTGTATTGTTTTCTTCCCTCCTTGTCCATGGGAATATTTAAACATATTATGCAGATTCATGTTTTCCACATACGTTTTGATATAGTAAATACACTCTGTTTTACCACTTTTCTCTTTTACTACATGCTTAAAATATCAAGAAACAGAAGTAATCATTTTTATTTGAATTATGTATTAATTCAGCAGCTATTTACTGAGAACTTACTATGTGCCAGGCCCTGTGAGGTTGTAAAGGATAAGCATGTTTTTCAAACTCATGCAATTTGTTTGTGTATTTCAAAGGAGGGAAACTTCTAGAATCTGAATTAGATTATGGAAAAATGACTGGCTAATCCTAAATGTTACTAAGCTTCTCAATGACAAATTATGTTTGCCTTGCCAGTTTTTATTATGGGAATATGATTTGTGTGTCCTTGTTTCAACTTAAATTATGGGATTGTTTTATTTCCGTCTTGAAAATAGCAAATAAATGATAAATGAGCTACAACCAGTCATGACATAGGCAAGACCATAATAATTTTCTCCAAAGTAGAATGCCTAATAAATCTTAATTTTAAGTAACCAGCAAGTAACAGAAGTGAGCTTTGCTTATGCTACAACTTATGCTGATAATTTAAAATATATATTTTTTCATTGATTTTTTTTTTTTTCAGGGAGGAAGGGAGAGAGAGAGTTAAAAACATCCATGAGAGAGAAACATCTATCAGCTGCCTCCTGCACACTCCCCTATTGGGGATGTGCCCACAACCAAGGTACATGCCCTTGGCCAAAATCGAACCTGGGACCCTTCAGTCCACAGACCGATGCTCTATCCACTGAGCCAAACCAGTTAAGACTTATGACAATATTTTTTCAATGAGACTAGACCAGATAATTAAAAGCAACATTTTACCTAATGACAATTGAGAAAATATAGGTGAAAGTTCTTTGTGGGGACAAACAGTGCATTCGTGCATTAAAGTGTAACAGTGTTTAAGAATATAAAACATTACCAATACCTTCTATCACATATTTTATTTTCCTCACTAACCACCAAGAAATTAGCACATTCGCCCTTAACTATAATACCACTTAAGAATTCTATGTAAAATAAGACTAAAGTTGTGGTTGAGTATACATTTTACATTTTAGAATACCTTCCTTTATAATTCTCAAAAATATATCTATTTAGAGCTGATTCAAGGAATGAAATTAATTCTAGAAATTTCTTTCCAGGGTAGACTATGAAAATGTCAACATTGGTATGACTTTTCACTCCCAGCCTCCACCTTGTTGTAATGGGCCTCAAGTCCAAACTTTTGAGACTATCCAGATATATAAAAAGCCAGCAAACAGAATGCCATAACAATCATAAGACCAATCGCTATGATGCCCACTATGGCCAGTGAACCAGCTGGATCGGGGTAGAGGGTGGGGCTGGCCTGCCGACTTCCTGAGGACCCTCCTACCAGCATGCCTGCCCCTGATGGGCCTCTCCAGCCCTTCTCCTCAGCTGGCCTCTCCCCTGATCAGCCTGCAACCTCTTGCCCCAGGTTGGCCAACCTCCCATAGCCCCTCCCCTGGCCACTGGCCCCCTCATTGGCCCCCACACTCTGTTCAGTGGTGGCACTCTGTTCAGTGGTGGGGGCTGACCAGTCCACAGCCCCTACCCATGGCCAGCCCTGCCCCCAATCGGCCCTCCCACCCCAATCAGGGGTGGGGCCCAACGGCCAATTACTGGCGGTGCCTCCCCCCCAGCTGTCCCATTGCTGATTGGGCCCAATCAGGGTGGAGCATCTGGCCAACCTCCCACTGCCACCTCACAACAGGCCCTGCCCTGATCTGCCCTGATTGGTGCCAGGCCAGCTGGACCCCCCCTGTGCATGGATTTGTGCACTGGGCCTTGAGTTGATTCAATAATTGCTTAAAGTGCTTACTTATACTTCTCCTAGTTGTCAGCCTTCACTGAGGTTTAGCATGAAGTGCATCTCTTAGGTAAAGCTTTACAGTTACAGCTCAAAGAACATTGGAATTACTCAGCAGAGATTAATTGAGGATGATGATAAATTATAGCAATTTAATAGTTTTTATGAGTCCTAGAAGTACTGTTAAAATAAGATTTGTATATTAGTAAGACCAGGAATCTAAAAAAAAAGATGAACACATTTGTAACTTCTTAAATATAATTTTATATATATATGAATTATATTAAAGTTTCAAAAAATCAATGGAGAGAAGTAAAGTGTAATTTTGAAAATAATTGAAGACATGAGCTTAGCTAAGTCAAAGCATAAAAATCTCACCCAAATATAATTACCAAAACAATATTTCTCCCTTGTTTTGAAACTTTCCTAGTTTTAAATTTATTTATTGTGCATAAAATCCCATTTTATTCCTTTCTCTGAAATTATCTTTGATTTACATCATTTGCAAGGAGTGTTTTTTAAATTTGTGAGATGAACCCATTCTTTCCTGGCTCTTTTCCTCTATTTTCCATTGGGCTCATTTTCTCTTGTTGTGATCTAGGCAAATTGTTTCTGATGAGACACATACTTATAGGATAATGAAGACGCTACTTGATGTGCTTCATGAACATGTTATAGCTTCCCAGAATTTTTCCTGACTTGTATAGATTAATACCTGCAAAGTACTAATAGAATCTAATTTGAGAGATATGTAACCATAGCATGTTTGAGAATCAATTTATCCTCACAAGAGCTTGCTGAAAACTCAGTTCAGAATTCCAGAAAAGGCCAGACCAGGTGACTTATTATTTGTATCAACCTTCTAATACAGATTTTTTCCCAAAAGGCATTATTTTTCCACAATAATATAAAATATTAATGAGTGGGAGGAAGAGAGTATCTTCAAAAAGGATTCTAAATCAATTTTTCAGGATGTGAGCATTCCCTGTTAATGGGTTGCCTCATGAGGTGCATCTCTCATTAGACTGACAGGCTATGGAAAATCTTAAGCCTCAGGAAATGAGTCACGGAGTCCTTTCTTCTGAAGAGATTCATTCTGGAGATGAATAAAAAACAAGGCTATTATGGTAAATAGTGGTATAAACTTTAGTATTTCAAAAATGAATCTACACAAACAGTTTGAAAGTTTTCTGTGTATTTTACCAACCTGCCTTTCAAATGGAAATTTTGGTGTTCTTACTGTGAATGTTGTATTTCCTACACCTATAGTTAAAAAGGATGTTTATTCAGTCTCAGCTTGATAAGCTTTTTTCTTAGTTTTTCTGTTTGTTCTGTAACTTTAAGTTGATAATATGATTTTGATTATATTTCAAAAGAATAATTTTGCTAGCGGAATGGGTTTGTAAAAATAAGCCGTATAATGTTCCATAAAGCAAGTATGAGTGAAATTAATTATATTCTTTCATTTTGGAAGCGGTGAATAAAAAGTGCTTGGCCAATACCGTACCATTAATCTATTCTCTTTTCTTCTTTCTCTCTCTTTACTTCTCTCTCTCCAATAGAAGTGGAACAAAAAGGTAATTAAATACCTTTCATAAATTATATATTATTTATAGGCTAAGTTATTTAACAGTTTAACATTTAATTAACATAATTTTGTTATGAATTCTTATCTATTTTATGAAAATTTATTTACTACTTCTGCTGCTCAACTTCACTTTAATCTGTTGGCTTGACCAGTGCTGGTTTGATTCTTGTTTCCTAAGACAGTTTAATAGTGTAAAAATTTTAATTGTGTATTTTATTCCTCTTTATTTTTAAATGAATAGTTAAAAATCCAGTAGATGGTGATGGATAGTGATTGCTTTAGATTTGTTTTTATTTCTATACTAATTTTTCATAACTTTGCTGTTTTCCCCCCTGTTTATATTTTAACTATTGGGGGGAAACGGAGATGGATTTATTGAAATATCTTAAAATAAATTACTTTTTAAGCCAAGGGCTTATTATTAATTAATATAAAGTTTATATGTTATTTTTACAACAATGCCTACCCATCCTTTATAATTATATTCATCATATTAGAATCCTGGGAAATTCTTCTAACATCAGTTTTATAAATTGAATTGGCCCTCTATCCTTGTTATGGATGAGTTTGATAGCTTTCCCCCCAATTTTTTATTTCTCCAAAAGTAAAACTTGGGCCACTTTAATGATGTACTTTCCTTTTTAATAACCTCCAAATCCTAGCTCAGATTCACTTTAGGCTGCTTCTGGTAGATCTAGGCTTATAGTTACTATTAAACATCTAATTACTAATATCAAGAAAATAATACTTTTTTTCATTAATCATTGAAAAATTGGGTAAACACCCAAGTTCCTTGTGAATTTCTAATTCCTCAACACAATACACGTGTAATAGTTTGAAACATAACAGTAGACTGCATGATTATTCTTCAGTGTGCTTGCTTTGCAAAAATATTACAGCAGTGTTTCCCATAGCAGGTTCTGTAGAAAGAATGTTCCACTACAGAGAGGCTCTGTAGAAAGGATTCCATGATCAAACCAGTTGGCAAAATTTGCTCACCTTCCCACTTCTGCTTTGGAGATTCACTAATGTGCCTAAGCTATTGGAATCTCTGCCACAACTCTTTCTAGCATGATATGGTTTTATATGTGACTAAGGACCCTTTTTTCTTTCTGTGTAACATCTAGCTATGCTCCTGGAAACAGGTGCTTTGAGGACCACCCTTTGGGAAACATTGCTCTATAGACCCTTTGTTACAAATCAATCAGCCAAGCATTCTTACCACCACTGATGCAATGTGCTACTGAATCATATTAAAAATCAACTTAATCAGATGCCTCTTACCCATTTTCAGTCTGAAGTATGAGCAGCAAAATATTACAGCAAGTATTTTAATGCTCTTCTCATGTAACAGTAAAAGGTACATGTTTTTAAGTTCCAATACTACTGTATTTAACAGGACATTTTTAACTGATTAAAATCTAGACCTTGGGTTCTGCTCTGTAACCTGTCACCTTTTCTTCTTTCCTTATTGCTTCTTTCCTTTCTTTCTCTTCCTCTCTCCTTTCCCTTCCAGTATTCATCCATCACTCATCTTTAATCGTGTGGGTTGCATGCTCTGTGTGCACTGTCGCAGCTTTCAGAGCTTTGTTTCCTAGAAGATTCAGTGGCCTGTATTTCAGGGCTTTACTTTCCCTTTGCTATTACATTTAATTATTATTGGATTTCTACATATTTCTTAATGACAAATATTGAATAGCTGATGTCATAAATGACAAGTATTGAATAGCTGATATAAAAAACAACCTGTTTTGAACATTTTAAATAAGGTACACAAAAACATGTATTAACATTTGCATTTGTTATGTCTATGGGATACACAGTCATACAGCTCATTTGTATATGTATACATAGACATATAGCTCATTTGCATATGTATAACCAAAAATATGGTAATACATGTGTACAAAGGTAGAAACCAAAGGAAAGCACAGCTACTCATAGAAGGCCAAATTTTTTCAGCCAACGAAATCGAAACGATTTTCAGGGAAAGTCAAAATTAATGTGTATGACTACATTGTGTTCTCAGAAGAATGCAGCAAAAAATAACTAAGTGGTGGTGGGTATCTCTTGTGAGAGTCGCATTCCACTTGGTGGAAAATAAGAATGAATGGCAAAATATAAACATTAATGTATTTATTATTTTAACTCTTTTCCTTCCAACAGTTTTTCTCTGTCCTGGACTGCTCAGGGGAGTGTACCAGAGTGAACATTTGTTTGAGTCCGACCACCAGTCTGGGGCATGGTGCAAAGACCCTCTCCAGGCTTCCGACAAGATTTATTACATGCCCTGGACCCCTTACAGGACTGACACCCTGACCGAGTACTCATCCAAGGATGACTTCATTGCCGGAAGGCCAACCACAACCTACAAGCTCCCTCACAGGGTGGATGGCACAGGGTTTGTAGTGTACGATGGCGCTTTGTTCTTCAACAAAGAGCGCACCCGGAACATAGTCAAGTTTGACTTGCGGACTCGGATCAAGAGTGGAGAGGCCATCATAGCGAATGCCAACTACCATGATACCTCCCCTTACCGGTGGGGAGGGAAATCAGACATAGACCTGGCTGTGGATGAGAATGGGCTGTGGGTCATCTATGCCACAGAACAGAATAACGGTAAAATTGTCATTAGTCAGCTGAACCCTTACACCTTACGGATCGAAGGGACATGGGACACTGCATATGACAAAAGGTCAGCTTCCAACGCATTTATGATTTGTGGGATTCTGTATGTCGTCAAATCTGTGTATGAGGACGATGACAATGAGGCCACGGGGAATAAGATCGACTACATTTACAACACGGACCAAAGCAAGGATAGTGTGGTGGATGTGCCCTTTCCCAACTCATACCAGTACATAGCAGCTGTGGATTACAACCCCAGGGACAACCTGCTTTATGTATGGAATAACTATCACGTGGTGAAATACTCTTTGGATTTCGGACCTCTGGATAGTAGATCGGGTAAGTTTGACTTTTGATGGTTCTCAAGAGGGAAAATGTTTACAGTTGATTCTCAATAAGTTTATTGTGCATTTGGTTCTACTGCTTTTTTGGTCTTTTTTCTGGTCTTTTTTTTGGTCTTTTTTTGGGTCATTGTCTTTTCACCTAAACAATGCTGCTATTAACCACGTTCAGCTATAAAACCTGACTCTTTCTCCTCTGTGCAGCTGATCTCCAGTCCTTAGCCTTTTTTTGAAGGGCATGGTGACCATCAGCTAATTAATTCTTCAGGAAATGTAGTATGCAAAATCTCTACTGAGATAGAATGCTATTCCATCTAATTCATTGTGACTTGCCTTCAGTAGTGTTCTCTACTTGGAAAACATCTAAGGGTTGGCTCGTATGAATTTTTTCATAGTCTTACACCAATATATTCACCTCATAGAAAACATCATATATGACCACTTCTAATATTGTCATTTAACTATAAATATGTCTATATAACTGATACATACAGAAAAATGTTCATAACTGATAAATACAAAAATATCTTAATTTTATTTAAAAAATGCAAAACACAGCTATGAATAAACTTGAGATAAAATTTAATTCCCTGTTTATTTGTTTTTTATAATCACTAGGACATACTGTTTAATTTTCATAAATTACTTTTTATTTTACTGACTCAACTGAGCAGAATTATCTCAATTTCAAAGCTACCGTATTTTCCGGCGTATAAGACAAAGCCCTAATTTTACAGTTAAAACATAGGTTTAGGCCTATATTCGCTGTATAAGACTACCCCCACTTCCGAGGCAACACCAGTTCTTTGTTTAATTAAATTTTTAATGAATGACATTTTTCGAACGTTGACTTTTTTTTTGTTTCAAAAGTAGTCTTATACGCCAGAAAATATGGTGAATTATTTCAGTCTAGCAATAATATTATTTCATATGGCAAAGCATAATGGAAAACTAAGATAAAGGCAACTGAATTTGATAGAAATATAGCAATTTAAAGTGTATTTTTTTTAATTTCAGTGCTTACATGTTAACAATGAAATTAACTGAAATCATTTAGTTTATTCTCAATAAGTTTATTGTATATTTTTATCAGACTGACTTTTTTATTTTCTCTATTGCTTTTACCATTCTTTTACTACCAAACTATTCTGCTTTCCAGCTTAAGTCATTTTATACATCTCTTAAACAACTAGATTCTAAGTTCCATATGGCTAATAACCTTTTCTCCCCCATCCTTTCATTAGATTTTAAGTTGGCTATTATTTCTGCCTTCTCAGACACTAGTGTAATAGGTGGCATATGCAAATAAAGATTCAATAATTCTTTGATGAATGAATAAAGGAAAGAATGGCTTTTCACTTCTTACTGAGGTATAATGCCAAATTATGTGGCATTTTCTCTAATGCTAAGAGGCTGCAATCAGAGTGATAAGAGTGATAGCAATTCTTTCCATGCCTAGAAATGCAGATATTATGTTGAACTGTTTATTTTGTTTGTTTGTTTGGTTGGTTGGTTGGTTAGTTAGTTTTTCTGTGGAAGGAGAAGCCTAACTAATCAAGAGCAACAAAAATAACTTCTCGCCAAAACCGGTTTGGCTCAGCAGTAGAGCGTCGGACTGTGGACTGAAAGGTCCCAGGTTCATTTCCGGTCAAGGGCATGTATATTGGTTGTGGGCACATCCCCGGTAGGGGGTGTGCAAGAGGCAGCTAGCTGGTCGATGTTTCTCTCTCATCTACATTTCTAGCTCTCTATCTCTCTCTCCCTTCCTCTCTGTAAGAAAAATCAATAAAATATATTTTTAATAAATAAATAAATAAATAACTTCTTCTTAGTCATTCTTCAAAAATCTTCTAACCCAACTGCAGTATCTGACTCACCTCTGTACAGGTTAAGTTTCCCAATCCAATGTGCCTTTCCATTGAAAACCTAAGGAAGAATAATCTGGAGAATTATGGGGAAGATAATTCTTTCAGGGCTGTGATATTCTTAACCACAATTTATATTTTGACAGTGGAAACTGTCGATGAGTAGTTCTTGGCAATTTTTTTTTTTTTTTACTTTTAATTGAAAGAGGAAATAATTTTTACTTGCCTCCAGAGAAATAATAAGAAATAAGTCATCATTTTTAGGTTAGTCAGTGAATAAAGGGCAGTAACATATTTCAAGTTTTATTTATTGGAAAGAACATGAATTATTTTTATTTAGGACAATATGGAGGTTAAAATTAATTAACATTCCAAGATTTTTGTTGGATGGATTGAGCCAAATTCCTAACTTAGTTTTTATAATTTATCTTTAAGGGTACCTAGAGACTAGCCAAAAAAAAATTCCAACATATATGAATAAATGTATGTGTATGTATTCATATACAGGGTGTCCCCAAAAATGTATGTAGCTGATAGCTCCATTTTGAACATGAAATATATTTAAATAACTGCCTTTATAATTATTCACAGTGTGTGTTTACATTTTTTTGAGACAACCTTTACATAACAAGTCACTGTAATTGTGGATATAAGGAAACTTACACCACTCGTTTAATTTTCTTCATTTGTTTACATCTGGGAATTAAAATATAAACCATCTTGCCCACATGTACTAGGCTCATATTTGTTAAAAGGATGTTATTAAAATGTAAAACATTGAGCTTTCTAACAAATTCCTAACTTAAGCCAGGATTTTTACACTTTTTAAACAACAATTAAGTCTTCTGCTTTGCAAAGCTTGAGTTTTCACTCTTATTAAATCTATAAATATAATCATAAGATAATATCATTTGTCATGCACAAATGCTCAACTTAGAAAACTAGTACTTTGCTGTGAACTTATCCTGCAGTTTTGAGGTGGAAAGAGTAAATGTGGGAAGTACGTTCTATGCATGATGTGTGGATATGAGAATTTCAATTAGCATTAATAGATGACGTTAATCTTTTTTCACACAAATAATTTCAGCTGCATGTTTTTCTTTGGTAAATTACATTGACATTTTTCAAAGAAATTGCCTTTAGTGAATTCTTACTATGGATCTTCTTGTGTAAAAACCAACTTACTATAAATATGTTAAGGTCATAAAGACTAATTCTAAGAATGTAGATCCAAAATGTATTTGCTGCTGCCATCTGTTAGAAGCAGGCTGAGTGTTTTTGTGCTGGTTTTAAGTAAGTTCTAATCAATGAAAATTTACATTTTTTGGAAGTTGTTTGTTTGTTTGTTTTTATAATTGAGTATTTGTTTTTTACTTCTACTGAATATAACTATTCTGTACATTAAATGATTTAGATGTTGGAGGTTAAGAGGCAAATCTTAGCCTTCTCTGGATATATAAAAATCCTGTGGTGAAGCGTACGAAGGTACTGAACATGGCCTGGGAGTCTGGAAGACTTGGGTTTGAATTCTACCTCTAGTTTTTGTGGGCTGGTTGCTCAGCCTCTTAGTCTTGGTTTCCGCAGCTCTAAAGTGGAAAAAAAAAAACAATACCTAGTTCAGAAGATTATTATTAGATTTTAATGAGATGATGCATGTAATAACACAACCTAACAAAAGCCATTATTATCCATATTTTATTTTATTTTTACTGTTTGATTTTTAGAAATAGAGGAAGAGAGAGATAAATATTGATTTGTTCCATATATTTATGTATTCTTTCATTGATTTTTGTATGTGCCATGATCAGGGATTGAACTTGCAACCTTGTTGTATCAGGAAAACACTCAAACCAATTGAGCCACCTGGCCAGGACATCCATATTTTCTAAATAAGGGATTAAGGTACTACGGTTCATGCAACTTACTCAAAAATCTCCCAGCTATTAAAGTGCAGCCCGACTTTAATTTCCTGCTCCCTTCTGTGGCATTAGTGGTGGGAAAGTATGCTTACTGATGTTGTGTGTCTAATTTCATTCATTGGTCAGAAGTGATCCCAGTATCTCCATGGGCCGGACATTCTAGATGCAAATCTAATTTGTAGTTTTCTCAATTAGATCATTTCTATGGCATAGCATTCTAAAATGTCATATCTACTCTTTAACCATGAAATCAGATGTATATTTATAACAAGAGTCAATTTTAAATTATAAAATTATTAACTTTAAGCGAGTAGAAAGAAGTACTTAGCTTCTCAGAAATATTCTACAGAGTAGTTTCAGAAGTGATTCAGTTCCACTTCTATATTTTTCCTAATACCCATTCTCAAAGTGCTCATTGTCCTGTCATTTGTTTTGTTGGTTTAGTTACATGACATTTATATTTTTGTATTCTTTTCAAGGGAAAACATCGGGAGAGTGGTAAATCTGTGAAAATGGTTATTTTCAACATAGCTATATAAAGAATTTAATTTTAATTTGATGATTTTAAACTTGTGTTTCAGATGTTCATTGTTGAACATAATTGAGTTTCTTCTGAAAAGTTTTTTAATAGGCCTGCTCTTCTGGACAAAGTTTTAAAAAATCTGAAATTTGTTCTCACTTTTCTCTAAAAACATTTTTTCAGAATATCATGCTTTCTTTACTTACTCTGCATTATTTTAAATGCATGCTTGCCAGCTTTTTTTTTTAAGTTTTCCAGCTTAAAATTAGTGGAGAAATGAATCAGAACTTGTTTGATATTGCTATTCAAATAGCTTCTATTTGCAGATTTTGCAGAAACAGTTTTTAATAATATAGTTAGTTCTCACACGTTCAAGAATATACAAGTGCAAATAATTTTCAGTTTATAAAAAGCCTTTGATTCATATTGAACTAATCATATTGATATTGCTTTAGTTTTATTACTTATAATTCCTTAGTGAGTACCTAATAAATAGCTGATGTGTCAGGATTTGTTGACTATTTTAATTAATAAATAAATGAATTAATGTATATATGTTTAAAATCCTTCTTAATCAGAAGATTATGGGGATGGGAATATTAGTTCTAAATTTTGTTTTATTAAAATAGATGAATCTTTACTCTTTGCCCAAAATTAAATATAATCCAGATGATTAAAGTCACCCATTTTTCTC